CCCAAGCGTCCGAAGACAAAGAGGTGCCATTGAATAATTGAATATGTAGAACTTCTGGCGGCAATCAGAGTGGAGATGCAAACAGCTCGGGTTCGCACGGAGTAGCTTGCAAGCCTCGATGTAGTTTAGGCCTGCAAGCTGTGGCCAGGATGCGGAAGCTTCATCCTTATCTTATTGGGGGTTTCCGAAATTTGGGGCACCTTATTGGAGTCCGTACTATAAGGGAACTACTATTTGGGGGGTCTCTATTCGGGGTTCCTTTATTCTTTGTAAACCCCTTCTTGTGACTGAACAATCGTTTTCATGTTGCCATGACGATGACGATGATGACGATGATGACGATGATGACGATGATGACGATGATGACGATGATGGTGATGATGGAGTAGAATTCTGCAATCCCCATTAGTATTTCGTGTGGCAGAGTACCCGTTCTGTACTTGCTATGTGTGTGTGTGTCATTGGCCTAACAATGTTCATAGCTGGAGGCACAAGCAAAAGCCTTTTAACAATTTCGTATACATGATTAGTTTATGAATTTCTTGCGCGTGCAACTTATTGATCTTAAAACCTGCATTGGCTGCGCTGTGTAGTGTTCTCAGTTCTGATTCAGTTGTCTTAGATATAGGTTGGTTCTTTTCTGTGAATGTATGTGTCAAAGCCAGGGGCAGCTGTGAATGTGAGTTCAGCACTGCAGCATGCAGCCTTGCACGAACAAACCGTCTCTGCATCCTCAACCTATAGATGTCAGGGTCGGTGATGAACTGCTTTACAGTAGTATGAGAACCAACATGGGGCCGCAATGGGATTCCGTCTAAGCTGGCCTGCAAAAAGCGATCCTAATCGGAAAAACCCTCCATACATGGTTCAGTTTTGGAAACAAAAGCTCCCTTTATGCGTCCCTGTAGCAGCACTCATTCGACGATACTCCGAAGACTTCAGAGAACTGGCCATATGGGCATTTCCCAAACAAAGAGGAGGTACACCCCGCTCATTCCCCAAATTACTAGTTACCATTGACCCCAAGGGTTCCTCTGCTTTAGGAACCCCCCCCAATATGGGTAGTTCTCAAAATTGGGGTCCCCTTTTAGAGTCCCCTAAATGATATGGCACCCTTGCAGTAAGGACCCAAAAAAGGGCCCGAAACCCTAAACCCTTAACCCCAAACCCTAAACCCTAAACCCTGCTTTGGAAAAGCAAACTGAGCCAGGAAGACGGGAACTCTCCGGCTTGTCGGGCAGGATCGCCGAGGCGGCTGCTGCCGCCGCCTTTGTGAATTCTGAGGGCTTTTGTGTTCAAGTCATTCAGGATTATTGGTTTAGGTGGTGTTTATAGTGAACTCCAAAAAGTTAAGACCTTATCCCCTACCCCTAAAGGCATACTAAAGAGACTCCCAGCTCTAATCATCCTTAAACCATGCTCCAACTTTCTGGAGTTTACTGTAGGGGTCTGGGATAGTAACGTTGCTCCATGTTTTCGGATTTCGCTGAAGCTTGGACACTTGGGGTTAGAATCGAGGGCCTACGTGAATGCCAGCCGCAAAAGCCACACAATATCGTGAGCAAGAGACCCTCCGCATCAGTTGCAGCAGCTTCAGGGAGCAATACAGCAGAGACATATGGAGACCACAGGGCTCGCACCATAGCATAAGACTTTACTTGACCCCACCTTGACATCATCAGCATCATCTCAGCAGCATCATATAGCGTCATCATCATCATCATCAAAACTAATAATGAAACGAAGAAGAAGAAGATTCCTGAACACAAGTCTGCGCGCCTCGATGTCTCCTCCGCTCTGCAGGACGGCCATGGCCGCGGACACAGAGTGAAAGGCCGTGTCCTGAACTTCAGCTCAATCGGACTACTATGGAGGGGGGGGGGGGGGCACACGCATATAATACACAATAATACTAGTAGGAATAATACTACTTAGTAGACACACACACACACACGCACACACACTCTCTCTCTGGCGAATATAAGGAGTAAGTCAGTTATGTACTTGTGGGCATTCTACGGGTGGAAAATATCGATGACGATTGGCTTGGGGCGCCCAAGCCTATGTTAGGGAAGGGTGTGGCTGGGTTGCAACGTGGAGTCTCGGGTGGGATATGATGGAGATGATGGCGGACAGGGGATGTATCAAATCGCTAACATCGGTTCAGCTGAAAAGGCAGATGGTGCTCAGCTGCCGACCCAGTCGAACGAAGCCTGCTCAGTACTAGGGCGAACCACGAGAAACACTTGGGGCTACCTCTTGTCACTTCACCCTCACCGACTTGCATGCTTGCTGCAGCTACATTCAAGGGCACTGCCACGAGTTCAATGCATGCTCGCGGCCCCTTGCTTTACCACATCCTGACGGTCGCGCGTCCCAGCCTGCAGCAGTCGCAGAATCTCCATGTGCTCAATATCCCCCTCCGGCCTTGGAGGTGTTTCGGCTTGAGGGGGTTGAGGTTTAGGCTTCAAAGCCTCTCGGGCAATGAAGGCCTGGATGCACCAACGTTTGGTCGTTGCTTAGACTCAGCGCTGATCTCAAACAATCCGACCACCAATATGGCAAGAACGTTAAGCTCCGATTGACAAACAGAACTAGACATCACAGTCTTCATGCCACACAACACCCTGACACACAAGACCTTTGCAAGCCCTTAGCCGGAGAAAAAAGAAACTAAAACCCTCAATCCAGCCCCAACCATAGTGTTCCCCAACTGCGAGAGATATGTGGAGATATGCCCTCAGTCGCCTAAATCCCAAAACCCCCTCCACTGCCCTGAAACCCTAAACCTTAAGAAACCCTCAAAAAACCCTTAAAATCGCCTAAAGCCCTAAACTCTCCTGGGATCCTAAAGCCTAAAGCCCTAAACTAAAGGCCCCTAGCTACGGCCCTAAAGCCTGCACTTCTCTCACGACCGCGCCGATCTTCCTTGGCTCCGGGCGGCTCGAAGTCGACGTGCGCCTGGGAGCCCGGGGACCTGGCACAGCTTTCCCTAAACCCTAAACCCTAAACCCTAAACCCTAAACCCTAAACCCCAAACTCCAAACCCCAAACCCTACTTACTACTGTATCCTAGGTTGGCCCTTTAGACCCTCCGAAGAATATTCCTGAGTATGATCTTGTTAAACCCACCAAGAGAAAATACGACATGTCCCAAAGGCCTACACAGCATCGTTCATACTATGAACGCTTTGGATATTTTACTATTACCCATTTGACATTATTGTAATGCTATAGCTGTTCAGAAGTGAGGTTTTCTTTACAATACCATGGGCAGTTTGACGAGGGGAGCTCCAAGGGTAACTTGCACATGGATTGAAGAGGCTTAGGGTTTATGGTCTTCAGGGCTTAGGGACACTGACTGCCGAATCCTGTACACTACATTCATCCAGGAGAGCGAACATGTCCCCAAGGCAAGACACACCTGGCATCCGTTTCATACCATATGACCAACAACGCAAAACAGAATCCCATTTAAATTATTTCGGCTTATTTCGGGTCTGCGGATTTAGCTGGTCGCTGGACTATTCCTAAATACACAGCCGACTCGCAACGAAGAGTCTCAAACGCAGCACTTGAAACAACAGGGCTTAGGACCCTAGTGTTCCATGACAAACCCTAAACCCTAAACTCTCTAAACCCTAAACCCTAAACCCTAAACCCTAAACCCTAAACCCTAAACCCTAAACCCTAAACCCTAAACCCTAAACCCTAAACCCTAAACCCTAACACCGACAGGTCGCTGCTTGGCTGGGGCCCCCGCAGTGGCGATCCCTGGGCCTCCTCCAGGCCACTGTAGCGCCACTTGGGCGCCATCTCCTTGGCAAGAAAAAGGCTCAACCCCTGTGAGTTTGGGGGTTTAGGGCTTAGGGTTTAGGGTTGTTTAGGGTTTAGGGTTTAGGGTTTAGGGTTTAGGGTTGTTTAGGGTTTTGGGTTTAGGGAAGACCCACACCCCCCCCCCCCCTATTCAAATGCAACTACACCATGAACCTTGCCATGGCAAGCATGTCGACACTCGGCCGGTGCGAAGTCTAGACAGCCAACCACCAGTCACAAGGTTTAGGGTTTAGGGCTTAGGGCTTAGGGCTTAGGGTTTGGGCTCAAGTGCCGGCTTGAGGGTTTAGTGCAGGATTCCACGTCTGGGGTTTTACGCAGCCTGGGTCACAGTCGACGCTACCGAGCAACTTCGCAAGCAAATTCTAAGTACCAAAACAGGGGGCTCCAGGAAGGATAGCGACATCTTCCCCTGCTCGTTTCAGGTCGAAATCTCTGTATCTCCATCATGGCACAATCCCTGGACTCCTGAACTGTGAAAAATCATCCCAACATTCAGCTGTCCTGGCGCTTGCAAGCCTTGGTGTTCAGGGCTTGGCTTCAAGCTGCTAAATCAAAAAGGGCACCCTTTTGGGTTGTAAGGAAACCTAAACCCTAAATTCAGGGAATAAGGGCCTACTCTGGGTCCCAGGTAGGAGGCCGATCAGCAAGCTGGGCAAGTTGCGCCGTCGGCTGCTCCCTTCCGACTGAGGAGATCCCAGATCTGCAGACATCCATGAGGAAAGTGCGATTTTGGGCTTGGAGGTGCCGAGCACGGAGGCTTTATAGGGGTCAATAGCTGCAGCCTTGGGAAAGTTGGATTATGAGAGATCGGGTTTTAAGGGGTTTTCCGGGTGGTGGACCTCAATACTCATGCTCTTCTGGCTTAGGGCCGCAGACCCAAAGATTGGCAGGATTAGTCTTCTAGGCCCAGGGTTGAAGACCTGTGAAGCAGCATGATGGCATCGCGAGTTCTTTGAGCTAGCTGCAGCCTTCGTAAGTGGTAGGATCGTGCGGCGCATCGTTCGGTGGACGAAATTGAGGGCCACATCCTTACGGCGTGGAATACTTTGGGATGCTCTGGTGACACCCTTCGATCTGGACAGTGAGACGTCTAATAGGGAGGTGAGCTGTCACAGGCACCTCCGAAAACAACAACTGGTTCCACAGTACACCCGGACCTTGTCTCAGGGAGCTGTGTGAACCAGAACCGACGCCAGGTCTACGCAAGAGTGCTGTGAGCCCAGGTTCCACAACGCGTCGGGGCACCGAAAAACCTGAGCTCCGAGATGGGGAAGAGGAGACTTCAACAAAAGCTTGTAATTGCAGCTTCACAACTGGCTTACTCACCCCTCAGGACCGAAGCCTAACGCACATGCTGCAGCGACCTAGCAACCATGCCCAGCTTGGTCATGGCCAGGCCGATGCAGAGGACGAAGGCAACAGCAGAGTAGCGCACGTAGCTTCGATATCGCATGACCTGATTCTCCGCGGACCTGTATGCAAAGTAATTCTTCAAATCCTTCCAGGTCACTGGCATGGCGGACTCGTTGATGTGCGCCATGACATCCTCCACCTTCCTGATAGCGGTGGACCCGTAGTTGAGGACCTTCTCCACGTTGATCAGCAAGAAGAGAGCGCTGCCGACGCTAAGGCCGATGGAGACCAAGCGCTGGAAGTCCACAGCCTTGTTGGCACTGGTAGCCCGAAACATGGCGTAAACGGAGATCTGCACGTGGATCTGCAAAGCGCTGTTGAACAAGCCGAGGGTAATCACTTTCAGAAAACACCGGGTCAATGCATTTCTGGTGTAGATCTGCAAGGGTTGGCGCATGTCGTTCAGTGCATCCTGCGACGAGGTCACAGACTTCTCGCCGGTGCCGGAGTCCTCCTTTAGGCAATGCAAGAGCTTGTCCAGAACTTTGTAGGTCTTGGTCCGTGGATACGAGGGGCTCTGCTCGTCGATAAGATACATTCCCAGGCCGCTTGACAGCATCATTACGGAGTCCCCAAAGGTGAAGGTACCCCCCAAGACATTTTGATACTCGCCGGAGGTGTCAGCCGCGCTGGCCACTTGACCGTTGGGTTTTTCCACATCCAGGGTGAAGTCCAGATCCCAGACCCACCGATCGCCGGGCAAAGATTCTAGAATTGCGTGGATGAGGGGCGCAAAGGACAGCAGCCAGCAAAACATGACCTGAGCAGACAAGGGAGCGTCTCTCAGGAAGAACAGGAAATTTGATTGCCGCAGCGTGATTTGCCAGATCTCATCGAAGCTGGTCTCCGTCTTGAAGGAACCTAGTTGTTCTGAGTACCCGTGATATTGCAGACTGCAGTGCGAGGTGGCAAATGTTCGGGCAGCGAAGACTGCGTTCGAGAAGACGGCACCCTGAAACGCCAACGACTTGATCGTGTTCAGCGTGATCCTTGTCAAACAGCGCAACGTGGCGGCTAAGAGGTGTTCGTTTCGAGTCCGCCCCCCTCGACATCCCCCCTCGACCCTTCAGTCCACCGAAATGGCATAAACTTAAGCCCTATGAAGTGCTAAGGCCCAAGGGCCTAAGATCCCATCAATTAAGGTGCCCAGGAGCCAAAGCTCTGGACCTAGGCGCACCCTGAGCATTTGGAAGCGGCCCACCACCTGGAAGTAGGGCACTACCTGAGCCGTTGTCTGGACACAGGGAGTTCAGGGAGTTCAGAGCCGGGTTTTAGGGTGAGGTGCGAAACGTCGCCAGCGGTAGACACGCAATGTTTTGCCTGGTGTTCGAGAGCTTGCTAACCAAAGTTGCGCTTACGAGGGCACTGGAGTCCGGCTAGGAGGGATGTACCGAAAACCCTAAACCCTAAACTAACCGGATCACCTCACTGAATTGCTAGAGCACTGCTAGCCTCCTCGCAACATGAGACAAGAGGCAGTGTAGCGAAAGACGCGGACCTCTTGCACGAAATGCAACAATGCAAAGGGTAAGGCGCAGCACCAGACATAATACGGGACAGGCTTGTCCATGCCATTCTCACAAGAGGAGCCGCTGTACACCAAGATGAAGATCCTTGCTTTTGCTGTATGTATCCCTGGCCATTGCTTGCCGGGTTTATAATATGGTGCTGTTCACAACTAGAAGCAGAAGGTACCTTGACCTCAATTGGGCCCGTTAGTTTGGAGAGGCCCCCGTGCACCTTTAAGCCTTCTCAACCCCCACCACTCGCGAGCTAATAGCCCTAAACCCTAAACCCTAAACCCTAAACCCTAAACCCTAAACCCTAAACCCTCAAGGCCAGGAAAGAACATGCAAAGCATCAGTGTGGGGCCCAACACCGATGCCACGACGGTCTCGAAGAGCAGCCTCGGGTCTGCAAGGGGCTGGGAGAGACCTTGAAAGGGTTTTAGAGGGCCCTGTATATATACCCTTTAAGGGATTATATAGGGCCCTATCTGGAGATATATATATATATATGTATAAATAAATAAATGTATTTAAAAAAAAAATATATATATATATATATACCCTTAAAAGGGTTAGGGCCTCTTATAGCAACATCTTCCACAAGAACTAGACATCGTACCCCTTGAGTAGAGCCCTACTGGTAGACGGCTACAACAGGGTGAACCACTTGAGCCACAGAAACCCCTGAGACCCCTTATCGCCTCCTGGACAGTCAGCTCAGCTCCAGATAAGCCCCGAAAGGGGCCCGATTTCTGGACTGCTTTTGAAGGAAAAAAGGCACCCTTAGAAGCCATTAAGCCCTGAAATCCTAAACCGTAAACCCTAAACCCTAAACTTTAAACCCTAAACCCTAAACGGGCAAGCAGCTTGTAGGCCGGTCCGGCAGTCTCCCTGTACCTCAGGGCCCGGTTCTTCTCGTTGGCCAGGCGCTCCACCTCTGCGTTGACGAAGCAGCGCGGCGGGGGCCGCCCATTCATCTCGGCCCACTGCCTTGGAGTTGGTTTAGGGTTTAGGGTTTGGGGTTTGGGGTTTGGGGTTTGGGGTTTGGGGTTTGGGGTTTGGGGTTTGGGGTTTGGGGTTTGGGGTTTAGGGCCCTGTAGCGCTTGGTAGGGCTTCGGGGGTGGACAGTTGCAGGACGCTCCGGGAAGTTTGGGTGCTCCAGGGGCTCTTTTTTCGAGCTTCGGGACTGAGTCGGAGCTCTTCCTCTACACTGAAGTGCAGAACTCCTTCGCCCAAGAAGGTCCAAGATGCAACCACGAGGAGTTCTCGGAGTCACTGGAGGTGCTCGAGCAGTTGCTGCGATTCCGAGACCCCGGATAACGAGCCTCCGCTGTGCGGCTCGGCTTCGAGGGGCTCTCCATGTCAGGTATGAGAGCCGCATAGGCCATGCTGCGAGGATCTACAGCCACTCAGGCATTGCCTTCTCCCCCCCTGCAGGTGTATCCCGCGGAAGGGCTTAATACAAGCCTGGTAACATGGTTGAAGTGCAGGCGTGAGTAAAATTGCATGTCAGCCGTGTCAAGCGTTCAACATTACAGACTCATGTCTGGCGTGGTTGCATGTCTGATGCTCCGTCGCACCTGCTGCTATCAGAGCTGGGCTGCGCGCACGCCATCTTGAAAAAAATTGAGAACTTGCTGCGGCAGTGGTTTGCAGAAGCCTTGCCCTTTGGTGGCGGCTCTCAGCACCAAACACCCTCTACACTTGAAAAGACCTTAACCCCATAAACGCAGAAAACCAGCAAGCCGGAGACTGATGCGCACAGGTGAATTTGGGCCTTCAGCAGTATTTTAAAGGCACTCCTCAAGCCCCCCTTTCGGCACTGGCTTCAGGCCTGGCAGACAAAGGACCCTGAGCCCCAGAGCGGAATCCCTAGCGACACCAGACAGCCCCAACCCCCCCCCCCCCCCCCCCCAAAACCCAAAACCCAAAACCCTAAACCCCCAAACCCGAAACCCCCCAAACCACCAAAACAATGCAAGCCCGGCTGCCCGCAACCCAAGACCCTGAACTGGGCTGGCCAGGTGAAGCTTTCGGTGCATCTCGTGCTCCTGGCACTCTAGGCTGTTTGGGCTAGGGTTGGGTTTAGGGTTTAGGGTTTAGGGTTTAGGGTTTAGGGTTTAGGGTTTAGGGTTTAGGGTTTAGGGGTTTAGGGGGTTTTTGGGTTTAGGGTTTTTAGGGTTTAGGGTTTAGGGTTTAGGGTTTAGGGTTTAGGGTTTAGGGTTTAGGGTTTAGGGTTTAGGGTTTAGGGTTTAGGGTTTAGGGTTTAGGGTTTAGGGTTTAGGGTTTAGGGTTTTGGGTTTTGGGTTTTGGGTTTAGGGTTCCAGGGCCGAGTTAGAGTCTGTGCTGAAAGCTGCATTCTACCCTCAACCCTGAAAACTCCTCAACCCTTGAACCATGAAGCAAGTTGGTGCCGGGATTGTGGAGTCTCCTACTTCGCCTTCCTTCCCCACTTGTGAGCTTACCTCTTCATGGTCTGGGCTCTCCAGGCCAACCCTCTGCAGGGCTTATAAGGGTTTCAGGACTTGAGGACGGGACTGATGAGGATTGGGCTCAGGGAGTCCTAAGGCAGGTGGACGGCGAAACTTCCAGGTCTTCTATGTGGCTGAAGAACTTCTTGGGGTGGAGGAGTTTGAGGCTGTAAGTTTGAACCCTAAACCCTGATTCCTAAACCCTATGAACCCTAAACTGGCCCTAAACCCTATGAACCCTAAACCCTATGAACCCTGAACCCTATGAACCCTATACCCTATGAACCCTAAACCCTGAATCCTGAAACCTGAACCCCCGGCTTTGGGGGTTAGGTCTTCCAGGCTCCTCGACCCGGTTCAGGGGCAACTCATGCTTGGCCCGTCGCAGGCGGCTCTTGTCCGAAACCTGAACTACTTCGAGGTTCATGGGTAGCTAGAAGTAGGGTTATAAGTGCGGTATCTATGCTTAGAACCCTACTTAAGGTACTTATGACCCTACTTATAGCTACCCACAAACCTCCAAGTAGGGTCCCCAAGTCCCCAGGCGTTCAGTAGCCGAAGCATCCGAAAAGGTCGCCTTCATCGGAGTTCGTAAGGAAACTTTAACCAGGAAGCGAGCTCCAAAACCAGGAGCCTTGAGAACTTCCGATCGGGTTCAGCTACCTTACACCCTTCGCGTCTACTAAACTCCTTTTGCTAATTCCCTAAACCCTAAACCCTAAACCCTAAACCCTAAACCCTAAACCCTAAACAGCTCTGTACACTGGTGACTGGAGGCGTTCCAGGGCCTGCATTGATGCCTTCCGATGACATTGGGCTCTCTTGGGGGAAGAACTTAGCACCTTTGCCCTCAACCCCAAACGCCTGAACAAAGCCCGAAGCCCTACATCTCCCAAACACCTAAACACCTGAACCCTGAACCCCAGAAATCGAGGTTTAGGCACCTTGGGCTTTCGAAGCCCCTGAACCACGCCTTGCATAAAGTCCGAACTACTCAAAAGCCGCAATCCTCAGCCCCCAGGGTGGCAATCCTCAGCTCCTGGCCCACTCCAGCTGCATGAAGACGTTCTTCACACGGCGGAAGCCGCTCCACTGCGGATCAAACCTCCATGCAGGCTTCGGGTTTAGGGCCTGCATGCCGGGGCCCAGGGCGCAAGGCCGCTGCCAGCAAACATGAAAGATCCACTTAGTGCCATCTGATGCGCATCGCATCCCTCCGGAGGCCCAAGAAGCATATACCGCCCTCAACCCGGAAGGCAGCAAGGATCAACGGTTTAAGGGACCGCCCGCGGTGGCGAGGCGCAAAGATCAAAGCTGGGTACCTATAGGTACCTGATTTAGCGTTAAAGGGGTCTGGAAAGCCCCAGCCCAAGCTTCCGGAGGCTTCGTGCCTAACCCTAAGCCCTGGCTGCGCAAGACAACAGTCTCAGGCTGCTAAGGTCCAGACCAGTTGCGGGAAAGCAGGCACTCCTCCCTCAGTGGTTCCGTGCGCAGGGCTGGTTGACATCGGGCGATGGCGGGTTGCATCCGAAGAGCCTTTTGGCAACCACAGCTGTTAGTGAGATGTTCCCTATCATATCGCCCGACAAGAACCTAGGCAGCTTCTTGATTCTTTGGGTGTAGAGTGCGATTTTCTACCAACCTACATTGCATCCGCTAGGCGCCAGTTGCTGCACGCCCTTGCAGGTCCAGGGCTTAACCAGCTGACGAATGGTCTCGGGTTTAGGGCCTTGCCGATGCTTACACTGCTGCAGTGTCCTCGTCAACTTTACAAGGTTTGCTCCAGACTCAGACCAACAAGCAAGGCCGTCCGTCAATCCGAGCGTTAGAAGCGACCCTGCAAATGTGACCGTGGCAAAGCCAGCTGAAGAATCATCTTCCAGTCGTTTGCAGATTCCTCCCCCAAAACCGAATCCCTAAACCCTGACAGAAGGACAGCATCAACGAATCGACCCCCCCGACCCGGAAGCGTGCAAGACCCCCGAAGACGCCGAGAACCCAGCGGCAGGGACTTGAGCGGCTGCCGCTTCCACAGGCGGAAGTCCCGGGCCTTGCAGGGAGAGGATATAACATGACCTAGAGCCAAAAAAGTGTAAATGCCCTCAACGTTGCCATAATTTACAGGCTTTAGGGCTTGGGGGCTTTGAATCGTCAACTTCAAGCCCGACCCTTGCACCTTGTCCCGAACTCGACTCTGTTTACCCGTAAGCTTCTATGATTGCACCGGGCCTTTGCTTGCAGAGCAGTGGCCGATGCACATCCAGATGAAGGTTATCAACTAGCCCAGCCCCACATGCGGCAGCCTTCACGGGATATCCCTATGACCACGACCAAGTCCTACATCCCAGCCTTCCATCAAAAGCCCAACATAGCCCAACCTCGTAGAACTGCTTCGGCATGGGCGTATCTTCCGGCACTGCCAAGGTGTCCACCTTGGGTCCGCAGCGGGGTCGCTGGGATGAGCATCAAAGCCTTCCCTTGAATGGTCCGGGGCCAGGGTAGCTGGTGAGAATTCAGGGTACCCCGACACTGGGGACCATCGTTTGGCTGACCAGATAATGCATGAAGCCCAGACCGACGGCTGAAGTATCCCTGCGATGCTCTGGACCAGGTCTGGTACATCCCATGGAACCGGCTCTTCATGATCGCGACAATGCCTGGAGAGATTGGTCTCGGTGGGCTTGACTGGCATTCGAATGACAGCAATGCAAAATGAGCACATCGTTTCGAAAAGGATCGACATCAAGAATGGGTAGCCTTCCTACTAAAAATCCTGGCGATTTCACTGCAGGCCTCAGTGCCTCAGCCTGTGAATTTAGGCTCATCAGGTCTAGGCGTCACATGGGGGCATCAGTGGGCCTTGGGATCTCATCTTCACACTGCGAGGAAGTATCACCAGCAGGTGGCATGCATTGCACACAGCCTGTGCATCCCAATCCTAGACCAGAGCCAAAACTCCCCTTAGAACCTCAATAAAAATAATATGTTTAATATCCTCTTGGGTTTTATCTGAACAATAATAATAGCATAATAACAAACATAATAATAATAATAGTAATAATAATAATAAAGGGGATATAGGAGCCGACTGAGCCACAAGCATGAGGTCCACGAACTTCTCGATCTGGATCTCCTGCTCCCGCTGGCCCTCCTCCTCAACCTGACCGGAAGGGACAGAAAGGTTTAGGGTTTAGGGTTTCGGGTTTCGGGTTTAGGGTTTGTTTAGGGTTTAGGGTTCAGGAAACGGCTTGTGGTGGTTGAGGGCTCAAATTCGTCTGGTCAAGTAAGTCAGCAGTGCCCAACCGAACTATGCAGAATTCAATTAACCCCAAGGCCCTAAGCCATAAATGTGCACTAGCCCCAAAACCCTGAGTGAGACCTCAACTCCAAGCATGAAGCCCCGGCTGCCTCCTGCTGGCGCTCTTGCTCCTGCTCCCTCTGCTGCTCCGTCTCCAGCCCACGCCTTGCTTAGTCGCGGGAGAAGAGGTAGTTTACGGGTTTAGGTTTAGGAGGGCTTAGGTGTTAGGATTTGATCAAGCTTTAGGTCACCTGAAATGTTAGGGTTTGATCAAGCTTTAGGTCACTAGAACATACTAGAACTGCACGCAAGCGGCTGTGGGGCTGCCAGGCTTGTCGGAACAGATCAGGGTATACCCTCGAGAAACTTAACGCGCAAAACCCTGAGGACCGCGCTCTCCTTGTGTCTCCTCTGTCTCCCCTCCGGCCTCGCAGCGGGGCCTAAACCCAGCGAGCGCATTAAGCCCTCTAAGCCCCCGAAACTCTACAACTCCTACGTGTGCTGAGCCCTCCTGTGAACCCTGTGCCGATAAGCCCTGAGCCCGATCTTAAAGCCGAGAATGTCGGGTATCGGGGTTTTGGGGCTGGGGGCTTCCTGGTTGAGGGCTTAGGGGCTCGGGGTTTCGGGTGGAGAGGGTTCCAGGGCTATGGCTATGTGCCTTAGGTCTTCCGGTTGTGGTTCAGAATGTTGTGGGTTGACAGGAGCTTGGCAATGAAATGCCAAGAGTGTCTCTCTGCAAAATATACGCAACACAAAATACCCATTCAACTTCGATACACCCCGAGAAGTCGAGGGTTTGGGGTTTATCTGGCTTAGCGTTTCTAGGGCTTATGAAGTTGAGTGAGGGCTGAACTCATTTAGGGCCTCTAGGCATTGCATAGCCAGAAAGCAAAAACCTGAAAGGACCGAAAGCTCCCCAAGGCCCAAAAACCCTCAGCCGCCCTCGAACCTCTAGTCTACACTTGAACCCGGACACCTTCGAAGCCCCTGAGCCCTTAGCCAGACACTCTGTAATGAACTCCTGTGGAAGAGCCCTCCCGAAGCCCCAAACCCCAAGATCTGCCTCTGCCAGGCGCTGCATGTTACCCCGGATCTCTTCGAGCTCGGGCCTGCTCGGATAGGGACTTTTGCTTACAGTGGGGTGGGGGGGGGGGGGGGGGGGTGGAGTTTGGAGGGTTTGCTCGCGATAAGAAAGAAAGAAAGTAAGGAGGAAGTAAGCAAGTATGTGTGTGTGTTTTTGGTAGCGAGGTGGGGAGGTCGGGCTCCAACAAGTCGATGCGTGATGGTGGCAGTCAGAAAGAGACAGAATCAGAGATTGGACAAACAGACCGGGATAGGTTGGGCTTCATAGAGGTTTTAGGCTCAGTGTCTCTCTTCCCCTCTCCGTGGGGATGGGGCAGGGGCCGTTTGGGTTTCTCTTGTGCGCACACTACGGGGTGTCGCTTCTGCAATCTTGCTCCCCAATGCTTGCCACCAGAACTGCCTGTCCGCATCTTGTACGAAGCGCTGCGCATCAGCAATCCTGCGCCACATCAAGAAATGGTTCTCTGCCTCCCCCTAAACCCTAAACCCCTAAACCCCTAAACCCCTAAACCCCTAAACCCCTAAACCCCTAAACCCCTAAACCCCTAAACCCCTAAACCCCTAAACCCCTAAACCCTAAACCCTAAAGCTGCAGGACGCACCCCTAGGACTGTCGGCAACTGGGTGCTCGCATGCCCTGTGCGCAAGGTCCTCCTCTCGGCGGCAGCCCCAATGGTGTCCAGCTGCCTTCAGACAACTGCGTAAATCAGGGCTTAGGGTTTAGGGTTTAAGGTTTAGGGTTTAGAGACCTTTACTGAGTTTATAGGGCACATCGACAAGGAAAGCACCGCTGCAAAAAGTAGCAGAAATGCAACATGCTTGCTTGGCTCCACACGGCACTTTCGAAGGTACCTCCAAAAGCTGCTGCTGAGCTCCGCAACCAAGAAACCAACGAGCAAAAGCAAGTGTCTCACCAGCACTCATCACCTCAACCCTGACGCTTGATCCGAAAGTAGAAAAGCACATGCATGACAGTACTGGATTATTCCTGCCAATGGTCCTAGTCCTCTTTGGTCTGCGTGCTTGTCGAAGTCAATACGGAGATTGGAGCTAGCAAACGCAGTGAAGAAACAAAGATCAGAAGGAACTACGACAGAACGAACATGGCGCGTGAATTGGTCACCTCACTACATTGGAAGCATTAACTAACATGCCTTGGCGTTCGCTCACAGACTCGCTTCATCTACCAGACTTGCTAAACGCAACCCCCTCGCCCTCGCAGGTGCAAATGAGGCGCCTTGAAATCAATGGGCTCCTTGTAGACTTGGACTCTGGCCAAGGTCTCTGGCTTCATGCCAGCCATAGCCTGGCAGACCGAAGGCAGACCGAAGCAGAGCAAACTGCCCTTCCTCCGTGCTCCAAACTACGCTGGACTCCGAGAAGTCCCGCTTGCGGTTCTGGGCCGGGGATCACGCGAGTCGCACCCGAACACTGTGAACGTCAGGGTGCGTTCCGTCAGACATGCGCGTGCTTTTTGCACGAGCTAGCTCTGCCGGACAAGAAGAAGCCCTAAAACCTGAGCTCTAAATCACTAAACCCTCCAATCCTTTACCCAGTTAAGCCCTGATGACCCGGCAGGAGCCTCGTAGTCTTCCATGACTGCAGCTAGCGAGCTCCTGAGCAATGGGAGGCCGTGAGGAAATCTCAGGGTACATGTGTCTGTGGCAGGGGGCATAGGACCGATGATGCTAACAGTCTAACAGGACATGCTAAGCATACATCATGCATCGATAGACCTGCCAGAGTTTTTGCTGCTCCAGAGTGCTCATGACTCATGGCTGTCTTAGCTCGGTATACGGTGGATGCAACAGAAAACACCAGGCGCGGCCTCCGCCAGATGTTGGCCAAGTTCTGAAGCTGCAGCATGGCATACTGCACCTTCTCCGTGCGCATGGACCTTGCAGTGGGGACTCGGTTGAAGACAAAACTGTTGCAAAGCAGCTACGTCGGTGCCATGATGCATCTTGTTCTGAATCCTCAGAGGGTCATCAGATCGTTAAACGCCCATAAGAGCCCTGAAAAACCCTAAACCCTAAACCCTAAACACTGAAGGTGCTGCAGCTTTGCTGCTTGTGGATGGCAAGGGCTCCCGCTGACACAGAAGCCAGCATGCCACGGCATCGAGCACACCCTGCCAGGAGCCGCAATAGGGCTTAGGGTTGAGGGTTCAGGGTTTGACGTTTAGGGTCAAGGGTCAAGGGTCTAGGGTCTATAGGGTTTAGGATTTAGGGTTTAGGGTGTTTCAGTGCGGGTTGGCACTGTAGGGTCTCAGGCGCTGAGCAATTGCAACCCACTGCAGCTGGAGAAACTGCCTTGTGCCGGTTGCCCAGCGTGGCAAAGCCAGGCCTGCTTGGGAATAGCACGATGGGGTTCAGTATTTAGGCTGAAGGGTTTCGGGTTTAGGGTTCAGGGTTCAGGGTTTGGGGCTTTGGAGGGTAGCTGCGCGGGTTAGCTGGGCAGCGGGTGGGAAGGGATTCGCCAGCACTTGCAACCTGCTGCCAAGATGCAGTTGAGGCAGATGCGCCAACCCAATATCTCGGGAAATCAGCTGCTCAATCCTCAAATCGAAGACTCACGCTCCGCTAGCTTCACTTCGCATGGCATGGAGCTGAACACGCGGTTTTGACTTGCTTCAGAGAGCACGGCATCGATACAAAAAACCGAGGGGACGGCTCGGGGATGATGTAGAGACAAATGCTCTGCCCGCGGCCGATGCCACGCATCCTGGCATTCTATGCTCGCAGAGCACGGTCCCTGTCTCTGAGTTCTAGCTTCAGTCCTCTTAATTACTCCTCAAAGAGGATTGGTGCACGAACACGCTAAGAGATTGGTGCACTAACAACCTTGTGGCCGGGCAGGCCTGTAAGCGCCCTGTGCGAAGTCGCCTGGAGCAATGGTCACTCCAGTTCACGTCCCTTCGCAACATAGGAATCCCAGGGGTAACTAGTACATACGGTGGAAGCAAGACAACTCCTTCAATGTGAGCTGCTGTTCTAGACTTGGGCTCACGGCCAAGTAAGCAATGAGACACTGCTGTCTGCTACTGCATGATGAGCACATGAAACCTGAATTGCGCTGAGTCATTGAGAAGTGGCGTATGCACTCTTGCAAGCAGGGCACGCCAAACCATGTCTTTGCCTCAGTGCTCGGTCCCGCAGACTGGTTGGTGCTGGTACCCTAAACCCCAAACCCCAAGCACTATACCCTAATAAAACCCTAAACCCTAAACCCTAAGTAAACCCTAAACCCTAAAATCCCTTAACTATGTAGGCCTGTGGGGAGGAGGGGTAAAGCATGTTCAAGCCTCTGCAGGTATCACGCCGGCTCCTATGCAGCAGCCCTGCACTAGCGCATCGCCTCAAACTTTGAGCTGCTCGGCGCTCACCATGTTCAAGCTGCAAACTCACATGAGTTGTTTCTGGTTCCTGGGTCTCAAGCCCAACGTCAGAGCTGCCACGGCATCCAAGCGATGCTGAATGTCCATGCCTGCACAAAGGGGCTGCAAGAGATGAATTACACGAGACGACATCCATCGTGACTTCTTCGGGGCATGATTGCGGCGGCAGCGGGCTGCCGCAGTTTCAACAAAAGGTTGGGCAGCAAACCTTCGAACTACGTCAGGTTCTACTGAAGGTTTTGTGGTCTTTGCTATGCGAAAGGAGACGTCTGCGGAGATGGCTATAGTTCTAGACTTCGAGTTGGCTTACACGAAAATTTAGGTACGCGAGTCAAATTATGCAATCGGTAGATGGATGCTAAGTAACGAATACTGATGCACTCGAACGGCTAACCGGCACGGATGTACACCAGCGAAGGTGTGCATATCCAGGCAGGAAGATCGATACATCGCTAGGTAGAGTCAGAGAGAGAGAGAGAGAGAGAGACGTGGACATGAATGCACGCGCACACTGAAGAGCTCAGTCCTGTGGTGTGGATCTGATCATAGAAGCAAAATCTGGCAGAGATGGGAACTCCACTGTCCTTGGCACGAGACACTCCAACGTCGCCCTTAACATTCCCAGAAAACTTGTGGAGAGGTTAAGTGCACACTGATCCTGCGGTTCCCTAATGGTTCAGAAAGTGCGACAAATATTGTGCGGAACAAGTGTGATTTTTGGAAGCCTGCGCCTAGGGGCTTTTCTTCTTCTGCCGGGCATGGCGCGTGCCGGCACCCCCCTCGCGTGCAGGGCGCACCCTCACCGTCTCAAGTCCACCCCGATGCTCTCTCTCTCTCTCTCTCTCTCTCCCTCTCTTGCTTCGTATCGTGTGTGTGTGTGTAGCTAGCTCACGTGGGGTGGATAAGGGTGGATCCTGTTCATCCCTTCTCCCCACCCTGCAGCCGGAAACTAGCCGGAAGCCTCTGTCACCCCTGCGGCTCATCCCTCAAACAAAGACTCGGCCATGGAGAAGAGAGGCTTGTTTCAGGGCTTCAGGGCCCGGTGTTTAGGGTTGACGGCAGTGGAGTAGTGGAGCTTGACATGAGCCGTCCACTCTTGCCTGGGAAAAATTGACCCCTTACCGCCGAGACTCCTCCTAACCCTGATCCCGTCTTAGTCCGAGCCAATGTCATGAAGCATGGGCAACATCTTCTGAAAAAGAATCCGCATACATCCCACATCCCCTGCCTCGCGACCTGAAGGACCCTCAATCAATCATCTGTATCCTTTGTAATACAAGTGGCCACTCCACAGCCTTGAACCCCAAACACACAAACCCCCTTAAACCCCTTGAAGGCCCCCTTTAAAGCCCCCAAAGCCTTCCTAAGGACCCGGCCGCCAGCTTGCCCACCTCCCGCGACTGCCGGTTCCTCGGGGCGGGGGGGCGGGGGGGGGGGGAGGGGAATTTAGGGATCCCTAGCGCTGTTGAGTGGGCGGGGAGTGTCGGGCGGTTCCTATAACCGGGGTGCACTTGTTAGGGTGTTCCAAAAATGTGGGGGTTAGGATTTTTGGGGTGGTAGATGCTGGTAGATTACGGATACCCCTCCCTTGGGAAATGCCCCGATGGCTGCTTTTACTTAGTGTTTACTCAAGAAGTTAATATTCGGGCTTACCCCCCAAGTCTTGAACCCTAACAGAATGCACATTCATATTCTTCTTCATAAAGGGCCCATAGGTTTAGGTCATGAGAAGTCTCGGGAGTTCGGGAACCTGGGGTCTTCACGAAAAGCAAGCTGGGTTTGAGTTGTGTGCAGGGCTGGGTCTAGAGGGGCCTGGCAACGCGCCGAGTTGGAAGATTTGGGGTGCCAGGAAAGACAGTTGATTGATCAGGAGCAAAAAAGATCCAAGGCCCAAGTCATCTAAAGCTTGCACAAAAGGTCTAGTTTAGAGTTTAAAGAGCCTAGGATTCAGGGTTTAAGCTTGCAGCTTTCGCAGCACGCTCCGCGTGGAGGGCTCTCTTAGGGCAGCGGCAGGATCCGCTTGGCACCGTCTTCCTCGATGAAGACGACCCCCTCAGGCTTCGGTTCGACTGCGTGTCCCCAAGCTTTTCACACTAAGGTCACCCCAAACAACAAATCTGCAAACTGCCAAGGCCTTATAAGGGCCATTTAGGTTAGCATTGAACTTAGACTTAAACACCTGTCACGATGCTGAGTGTTTAGGAATTTACTTCGGGGCGTCAACTCGAAGGGTTGCAAGCCCGAAGACGCCTCGATCCAGTCCGGCAGCGTGATGGGCATTGAGCCGTCGGCACCTCGTATCCCGAACTCGGGCGTCATGTTCAAGGGTTTAAAGGGTAGCGATTAAAGCCCTCTGCCTTGAGAATTGCGGTCGCAAAAAATGGGGCTGGGTAGGATTTCAGGATGGATGCGCAGCGGAACTGGCGCTTGACTGAGTTGGGGAAACGCAGACTCAGAGTGGCTGCTGGCAAGAGCCACAATGGCTCACTAATGGCAAGGGCATCGGGCATCGGGCAGCACGCAATCCTCGCAAACAGCCCCCCTTCGATGGAAACTGCAGATACTTTTTGGAAAGACATTTCTTCTTGCAAATGCACTTCGCGAGGCTGCCAGATGTTGATCGAGCCTGATGAACCATCACACCACTTTACACCACTCCCTCGACCGACCCCTCAAACCCTCCACCGCTCGAACGGAAGGCCAAAACAGTATAAAGTATGATGACACGTGGCAGCAAGGGCACGACTAGAGCCAAAAGGTTGTCGCTGGGCGTTCATTCCGAGCTCCCTGCGCTTCTTGAGGCCCAGCAAGTGCTCGGCGACCTCCTTGTTGGTAAGGCCGGTCACCAGGGCCTGGTCAACAGTAGGAGAGGAGCAGCTCCGCGGCTAAACCGAACGCTGGCATGCCCTGCAAGTCACAATGCTGCCAGACTGCTGGTGAAACCAAACGATATGACTTTATGACCTTTGATTCACACCAACAATCAAAGTTAAAGTTGTAGCATCTTGGTGTTTGCCCCGAATCCGACATCCATGAAGCCATCAATCAAGCCATCATTAAACCCTAGCCTCGTCGGCCATGTCAAACCATGCACAACACTGTAAACAATCCAAGAAGTAAGCAACCACTTCATTAAGGTGAAACAGGCACAGCCTACCCCTCCTGGGGTGCATCCTACATCTCAGGCAGGTGGAGGGGCTGGGGCATCAGCGTGAGATCACTTGCCGGAGCTCAAGAGGTTCCCGAGTCCCCCGCGCCAGTGTCGATGAGCGCTTGGCACTCGCCTCGGCCCGCTGCTTCGGCCACTGCATCCAGCAGCGCCTGCAAAGGCTTCAACGCTTCAACTCCCAACTTCGCCGGGTCTCCGCAACTGGAGCTTGAGACAAGAGAACCTATGTTGAAGATCCCAAGTGCCAAGGTGAATCACATTTGTTGTGTTGCAGCAGCTCCCACGCCAAGGCGAGAGAGGCAGAGAGGAAGAGAGAGAGACAGAGAGAGAGAAAGCGAGAGCGAAAGAAAGAAAGCAGGAAGGAAAGAAGAAAGAAACGAAGAGTGCAAAGGAGCCCAATGTTCCCCACACCTCCACAGTCCAGTCCGCACCCAATGTCTTGAAGGACACGATCGAGGGCGATGTCAGGGTGCTGACCACCTCCCAGCCCACAGAATCTCACGCAAGAGTGAGGTGTGAATGCCGCAAGCACTTCAAGGCTTGAGGGATCTGCAGGGTTGAGGCATGTGCTTCTGTCACCAACACTTGCGGGCTTTCTCATGTCGATGTCTTGGGACCGTCTGGGACCATGGAGCTCTAGAGTCTAGAGTATTTATTTGCCATCAGCTTTACAACCTGAACCGGCCTTCCATGTAACGCACCCTACAGTCACCCGGAAGGCAAGAATAGTTTCAACGCGATGAGCCAGGTTTAGGTAGCAACTTCTCATGGCACTACCATGGACCTTGCTGCTCTTCTGCTTCCCCAGCTGCCCTAACACATGGGTTCACATCCCCCCCCCCCCCCCCCCCCCCCCCCCCCCCCACCCCCCCCATCCCTTCCCTCCTAGGGCCCTACCCCCTACTCCGCCCCTGACAAATCTCTCGTTTGAGGGATTCCAATCCACGCCCGCCCTAACCGCCTCCCCGCTCTCATCACTCCCCTGCCTTCCGCCCCCAACTCCACCAACCCTCGACCGTCACCTCCCCTGCCTTCCGCCCCATGAGTCAGGCCCCCCTTTCCACCAGCCGCCCCCACCCTCTCCCACTCCCACTCCCTAACCCTCCCACCAACCCTCCCCAGCCCTCATCGTTACCCCCTCCCACCATCGTGCACCATCCGACCGCCCCCCCGCGCTCACCGCTCTCATCGCTTCTTCATCTCTATGCCCCCCAGTCCACCCCTGCCTTCCGACACCAACCCTCTACCGTCACCCCCCACACCCCCCACCCCCGCCGCCCCCCTTTCACCATTACCCACCCCCACCCCCCCGCCCCCGCCCCCCCCGCCTGCCCGCGCTCCACCCTGCCTTCCGCCCCAATGCGACTGTCTTGGGTCTGGGGTCGGCGGCACTGGCGGTAGCCATTAAATATATATGTATAAAGATTAGCATTCTTGTCATTACATACCCTTCAGAAGCTTGGTGCAGGTGCTTCATGCCATGCCCCTGAAGCTGCTGCACGGTTCTTTTAAAATTCTTGGCACAAAAAAAGTAGCCTAGCACAGAGAGCCTCCTGATTCAGCAAACCACGACTGATTGAGCAAATCACGAAATCTCAGGCTGCTGGTTTGCAGCAGGTTTCTGCTCCTATCCCCCAAGCTCCAAACGATGGGATTCCTCTTCGACTTGAGATATGTGTCTTTGAGCCAGGCTCAGTACCACACCCACACCCTAAGCCTGAAACATCCTGAAACCCTATAATTACCGCCCACAGAGAGAGAGATACACACACCCAAAACCCTAAACCCTACGCTTGTCCCGTAACAACTCTGAACCGTCTACACCCCAAGCCTACACCCTAAACCCAAACCCCTCAACCACCAAACCCCTCAATCACCAGACCCTAGGGCATGAGGAAACACCCACATCTCCTGAACCCGCAGCCCTGAAAACCCTGAGGAGCCTTTGCTTGAAAAGAATAGAGCCGCCCATCTCCTGCCCAGAGGCAGAGAACCTGAGGCCACCCACCCACAGAATCTTCTAACATGCCCGCAGCTATCGGGCATGAAGACATGCTCAAAAAATCGTGTCAGTTCTGGAATCGTTGCCCTTTTTGGGGCGCTAGCACGGGATGGCAACAATGAAAGGGGTTGCTGTATACCGGGCCCGAGACCTCATGGCATCCGACAATCAGGTCAAGCCCAAGCGCCCAAGCCCTGAACCTGAGATCCGCGCTTCTGTTCCTGGAAGCGCATGAAGTTTGGGAATATGTTCGCTTCGAGATAGAAGTGGATGGCCGAGGGCAGCCTGCAAAGGTCTCAAGTATGGGCCGCGGGGGGGGGGGGGGGGGCCGGGGGGGGGGGGGGCGGGGGGGGGGGCGGGGGGGGGGGGTGGGGGGGGGGTGGCGGGGGGGGGGGGGGGGGGGGCGGGGGGGGGGGGGCGGGGGGGGGGGGGGGGGGGTGTGTGCTTCCGCATGCGACTGCACAATGGAGTCGCTTCACAAGTTCGATCGTGCACCTTGTGTATTGTGTGTTTATATATTATATATATATATATATATATATATATATATATATATATATATATATATATATTTATTTATTTATTTATATTTATTTATTTATTATTATTTTATTTTCTATTTATTTATTTATGCGAATAACTGTATATACATATAAGTATATGTATATATATATATATATAATTAGTCATTTAATTATTTTCATAATTTATTTACACATATACATTTACATAGATGTATATATATATATATACATCTGAAAATACTATTACAGCACGTCGGCGCCTGCGGAAAAGCTCGAACAGCCTCTGCATCCTGAGGTAAAGTAGCGGCAACTTCGACAATTGCTTTGCAAAAAAAGAGAGCAGCTACCGATGCAGTCTACCTTTGACTCACGCTGCTCAAGGCTTGTCGATGCCTGCACACCTAAGCCCGTTACTTCTACTCAAAACCCCCAAAACCCCTAAATGGTATTGGTGCCCTTGGTAAGAAACTGGCTGTGGCGCATTCGTCTTCTCGAGAAGGTGCAAAGGAAGGACCTTCGCAAGTCCGCGGCCCAGTTTGCTTCCCCGTGGTCTGGTCCCCTTATAAATAGTCGCAGGGATTCGTTTACAAAAGAAAGTCAAGGGCCCTGAAATAGAGCACTGCCGGGCTTTGAGATGTTCTCGCCCGAGGTTCGCAACCCTAGTGATTCCAAACGAACCCAGGAACCATCAGGGCCCACCCGTCTGAGTAAAAAAAACCTCCAGGGCTTAGCTCTCGAGGAACAAGGCAACCGAAGAGGCGCGCATGCCCAAACTCACACCACGGAATACAAAACCATCAGAGGGAGTCAGGGCTCTCAAGCTTAGGGGTTTCAGCTGCGAAGGTCCATAAGCAAGGCGTGGTATGAGGGGATCCGGGATGTAAGGGATCAAGGACTTTCCGCGGTCTAGGCGAGCGGACGCGAGGCCGCTTGTCCGCACGGGGATCTTCGCCAGACTCCTCCTCCTGTAGGGGCATCGCAGGGGAGCAGTCGTCAGGGTTCTGATAGGGGGTCATGGGATTTAGGGTTTGAGGTTGGGGGTCTCTATTTGCAGTGCTTTGTGAAGGGGCCTTTTTTTGGCTTATGTCTTTGCGGGTTGCTCCGAATTTACGGCGATGGGCCTTGTGTTGGTCTCGATTGTGGTACGCCTGCTCAGCCCATTTGCTGGATTCTCCGGGGTTGGGGGTTAGGGTTTAGGGTTTAGGGTTTTGGGTTCTGGGTTTAGGGTTGGGACTTATTTGCCTCGGGGCAGCTAGTGGCACCATCGAGCAGCTAGTTCGTAGTAACAGCCTGGGCTTCAGCAGTGTCTTCGACGTGACTACCGGCCTCGACTGGGGAGAAGCCCAACCGAAGCCTATCACACAAAACAACCTCCAAACACATGAGAGGCCAAGGCATTGAGCTTTTGCGCCCACTGCTGCGGAAACTGGATCTGCAATCCAATCCGGCGCTGCCGAGAAATCGCTTGAAGGCAGCAGCTCAGGCGTGAAAACTTTGCATCTTTGCGGTCAAGGTATGCCGGGCTTGCAGGCGGTACCAACTCGCGAAAATCATGGAGGCATCGACGCCTCGCAACATCTCAACAGCCGAGGGCGCAGGAGCCTCTCTCAAAGCCGAGACTTCGCAGCCAAGCTGCTGGCTTCCTCAGCCTTCCTGTCGAAGTTGGCGCAGAACTCCCCTTGCTGCTCGCCATGCTCCTGGGATGCCTTGTTGCATCGCTCGATGTTCGCAAGATGAACAGCAGAGGGTTGCATCACGCAGCCTTTCCGGAAGTTCTCCCAGCTGTCCGCACTCTTGGTGCTGGCTTGGGCTGACTGGGAGATGAGCATCTTGACGCCCTTCCCGGCCAGAGACAAAGGAGTCTTGCCATACCAGTCCAGGACGGCAGAGTCTGCCCCAGCCTCTAAGAGGAGGGTGGCGCAGTGTTGGGAGTCACGCCAGGCGGCTAGGTGTAGAGGCGTCCATCCATCCAAGCCTGGATGTGACACGTTGGGATCGGCCTTTGCTTGGAGGAGCATCTCCACACACCTGGCATCCTTACGGTCGCAGGCCCGGTGCAGGGGCGTGTAGAGGTCCACGTCTGCCTTGTTCACGTCCGCCTTGGAGGCCATGAGGCGCTTCAGGGCCCCGACATCGCCGTGCCGCGCGGCGACGTGGAGCTCCGTCTCCAGCTCGAAGCCCTCGCCCTCTTGCGCCATCGGCTCGCTTTTGGCTGTGCAGATGTTCTGTAGGCCTATACACGACCTTTGTCAATACAGACTTCATCGTGCTGAGGGGGGGTTCAAAGAACATCGCTTGCGGATTGCAATATTGTCTATGCTGTGACGTGTGCAATACGCAGCATTTTTGTGTGCTTCCTGGAAGGGTGCTAAGCACCATGCAACATGGCAGTCAGCTGAGCTATAGAAGGCATTGGAGCAAGGTGCATGCCAAACCACACGCGCTTGCAGCAGAGTGAGTCCTGAATGGAGCACAGCCAGCACAGCTAGCTGGCATCCCCTCTGCGCCGGTGACAATTCGGGTGATATAAGCGGCCCTAACCCCTAGACAATTCGGGTTATGTAAGCGGCCCTAAACCATCCTAAACCCTAAACCCTAAACTCCTGAAACTCCCGAATCCCTATACTACAGCCACTCAGGCTGTTCGGGTCCTCGTTGGCTGCCCGCTCGTCCATCTCCCGCTGCTTCACGCAGAAGACGGCGCCCGCCTCCTCCACCCAGGACTTCCAGCCTTCGGGCTAAAGAACTTCCCGCAACCTCTCCTATGTGGGGGGTGGCCGGGGTGGCTTCAGGTTTGATCATGGGTTTAGGGTTTAGGGTTTAGAGTTTAGGGGTTGTGATGGCTTAGGGTTTAGGGATAGGGAGGGGGAGTGGGGCCGGGCGGGGGGAAGTCAACATTTGGAGGTGCTGTATTGAATCATGGTGGAACACGGTACTGGAACTGGAGGCTTCCACACTTTTTCTTGCTTCGGGCATCATAATTCAACGATGAAGAGTACAACCGTGTTCGATATCCGTGTGTCTGCACAGAGTACGCTGACCCCTTCACAGTGTCCGGGACATTTCATTTGCAACATGTTACAACCCTCCGTGTAGCGTCACGGTGCAAGGTTTCCCCGAAGACGAACCAATCTCTCAATCCAGCCAGCGCCCCAACAAAACAGCATCATTTTAACATAGACTCACACGAACAGACGAGCTCCTAACAAAAAGCAACTCTTGTGCCCCCTGAGCCCTATAAACTATATACTGACGATGTTGACTATATTAACTATATTGACTATGTTAACTATACTAACAAAGTAAACTATATTGTGATATACTATGATCTGGGCCACCCCGCGGAGCGCCGTGGGCCGCTCGAGCTGGGAGCCACCGCCCTCATTCTCCAAGCGGTCGGCCAGGGCCGACATGACCTGCAAGAAGGGTTTAGGGTTGAGGGTTTCGGGTTTAGGGTTTAGGGAAAAAAGGCTCCAGGGCTTCCTTCCCGAGCTCAGGGTTTAGGACTCCCATGGACTCCCATTATACTCAACTTTGCTAACTTTGCTGGGAGCCTCATCGAAGTCGGAGCGACGGAGGCCCTCGTAGCGGTAGGCAAAGGACGTCAGGCCCAGCCTGGGTCGTTCCGTGGCTGAGGGTTTTGGGGTGTTGGGGGCTTTTGGGTTTTTGGGTTTTCGCGTTTTGGGGGGTTGGGGGTTTTGCGGTTTTGTGGGTTTGGGGTTTTGCGGGTTTTGGGGTTTGGCGGGTTTTGGGGGTTTTGGGGTTGAGCATTTAAAGCCCCTGATCCAATCACTCTGAGTTCAGCTGGGCCCTTAAAGATATCTGTTCGCGCAACGAAAGAACCAGCTTTTGAAAGTGCCGAGCTTGGGCCCCGGCACGATGTCCGGATGCGCGAACTCTGAGCTCTGTGACGGAACATCCTTGCCTGCGCACCGCAGAGAAACAAACGTCCATGATCCCCCAGCGTCGGGGGACAGTTGGGAGGATCTGGTGAGCCACGAGTTTGAGATTTCGCCCGCAAGCCCCACCTACGAAGGGGATGGCCAGCTTGGAGCGTGTGAGGGGCATCAGCGGCTGCTCGGCAAGAGCGGCCTTTACCTGGCATCAAACTCTTCTCTTTCTACACGAAGAATGAACACCACAGGGCGACAAGGCCTGCAAGGCTCTATTCTACTTGCAAGGCACCGCGTTGGCTCAGGATCCTGCCTGCTCGTCGGTCATGATTCCGAAGGTAACCCGGTCAATCTTCTGCAAGCCTTGGGTAGACGAAAAGAATGCCCGAAACGCCTGAAACCCCCCCCCACAAGCCTCTCTTTCTTTCTTTCACTCTTTCTTTCATTCTTTCTTTCTTCAATCTTTCCTTTTTTCTTTCCTTCTATCTGCTTTTTTGTTCTGGACGTTTTCGTTCTTTCGTTTTGCTTTCTTTCTTTCGTGGGGGTGTCCAGCGCACGTAGGGTTGTCCGAGGGCGAATTCTCTCCCTGTCTCTCACGCTCTCCCTCTCTCGCTCTCGCTCAATCTCTCTCAATCTCTCTCAATCTCTCCTCTGTCTCCCCTCTGTCTCCTCTGTCTCCTCTGTCTCCTCTGTCTCCTCTGTCTCCTCTGTCTCCTCTGTCTCCTCTGTCTCCTCTCTCTCCTCTCTCTCCTCTCTCTCCTCTCTCCTCTCCCTCCTCCCTCTCCTCTCTCTCCTCTCTCTCCTCTCTCTCCTCTCTCTCCTCTCTCTCCTCTCTCTCCTCTCTCTCCTCTCTCTCCTCTCTCTCCTCTCTCGCTCACAGCAGCAGCTGGGCGCACAGACGTGCTTTGGTTGAGGGTTTCGGAACTTGCCTTTGCACCTCTGCCTTCGCTTTGCGCCCGGCAGTGAGGCAAGAAGGTTGCAAGCCTCAGGCGTGCTGCGACGAGCCGTGAGCTCCGAGGTGTTGAGTCAAAGGTCTTAGGCTTGAGGTTGTACATGTCATGTAAGCTAACGAGATCTAACGAGCCAGTGCTGCCCGACATGCGGAATCAAGTCCAACCTGGTTACGCTTGCAGGGTTGCTGCAGAAGTTTGGCACTCGTACCTAGCCAAGCATGTGGGATATCTACAGCACAAGGCCCAAACATGGAACGGACGCAAGGCCAGTTCAGAGTCAAAAGCTGAGATGAACAAATAAGCCAAAGGCGAACAAATAAGTACGACATAATGGAGACTATAATTATGACATCCTCAGCCCAGGTAGATCCGTTCATGAGGCCAGTCTGCGATGGGACGAGTCCGGAATCTACGTTTCACCTTTTCACCTTGCTGCACAATTCATCCTCTGCCGTATCCCCCTACATATCACAAACACGACCCTTTAAGGAAGGCCCGAGACCAGAACTGGAGTCGCGCGCGACTTCACCTAATAGACGCTAAGGTCCGCACCACTCACCACCCAGGTTGAGTGTCTGCACATCTTTTGCCGGCAGTCTGTCGACACCTCAAAGACCATGAAATCAAAGGCTTACACATGGCCTACGTCTGACAGATGCCATCGAGATCTGCGGGGCTGCTGGCGGCTAGCTCCTAGCATACCTGGCGAAGCTACTTTGGATGCGCAAGCAGAACGTCGATCAGATTGGAATCAGGGGAACACACGCACGCGCAGTTGCAACCACAACTGCCTTCGCACTTGTCGAGATTAAAGCTTCATGTAAAGACCACGAGATAGAGGGAGTGTCTGAGCAGCAAGCGCTTGAAAGATCCTTCAAACTTGCACAAGCCCAATGGACCCGTCAGCTTCCCAAACTGCCATCGGTTGGATGACAGCTTCTTTAAGCTTCTGCCCAGACAAGATACTGAACCCAGCGCGCTGGGCAGAGGGGTATGCTAACCGAAGGCCAGAAAGGCTGTACCATGATGTTCTGATCTCTATGTCAATGTAGTCCTCGTCTTGACGCCAAATTCGCTAGAGGTTCTCTAGCTGCTAGCTGTCTAAGTAAGACCACCGTTGCAGGTTGAGGTCGGCATCACTGATTGCACTGATCATGCTGCTTTCCTTGGCTGCTGGCGTGCTAGTCGATTCTGCAGTGCCGTCGGCGTCTCGCGGAATCTGAGAACCACGTCAGAGTCCGAGCCGTTCGGAAGAGCGGTCACCTCAGGCAAGTGGCACGAAGGGGAGCTGGGGTCCGCTTCCAATCTCCCCAGGAGCCGAGCACCAAGGAGGGGGCGAGACCCATAAATATTCAGCGTGACGTCAGCGCAGACGCTGTCTAGAGTGGTGAAGACGACTGCTGATACGTGGTGTACTGTCTCAACTCCCTTGTATGTAAGAGCCCTGGAATCCAAGTGCTGACGCCTCCGAAATCCTAAGACAAACCGAACTCCAAAACTGCAGACTCCCTAAGTCCAAAACCTGCTACGGCCCTCAACAAGACATACGGCACTATTGGGTCCTAAGCCCTCCCGCGAACAAACCCCCCACCCCCACCCGAACCAAAACAAGCTCCACAAACCCTGAATACCGCTGCCTGCTATCCCTTGTGCTCTCAGCCATGAAACCCCGCCCGCCTCCTAAATCAATCCCCCCCCCCCCCCCCGTGCCCCAGGCCGCCCAAAACTCCCAAATCCTAAGCGCCACTTCACCACCTCGAACACTACCCCTAACCCCCCCCCTGAAAGAAAAACTCCATCAGCACCCCCAAAAACGTGATTACACCCCCCCCCGCCCTTGAAAAAAAAAACACTCAGCTGTGGGGCCTTGTACTCTGAAAGCAATGCCAGGCCTCGCTTCTCTTTGGGCACCTCGACTCGGCTTTGTTGGGGGGCTCGGGGCTTTTGCTTCGGCGGGTTTCGGGGTCTTGGGCCTTGGGGCTGATGAGGTTTGCGGCTCTTCCAGTTCTAGGGCTTGCGTAGTCTTTGAGGGCCGTGGCAGAGAGCTTCGGCCCACAGACCTCCTGTCCAGTTCCCCCACCCCCCCCCTCGGAGAGCCGGAGAGATGGTTTCCATCAAGGCAGGAGGACCACAAACCCTCTTCGAGAGGTCAGTCGCGCCCCCAGCCCCAATAGACAAGATCCCCCCCCCTCCCCAACAAAAAAAACAACAACAGAGCCGACGTGTGAGCTCCAGACCAACTCCGGGTTGAAGAGGCCCTCCTTGCTCGAGCTGCCACTGGCCAGCATCTCCTTCGAGTTATAAGGGGGCTTAGGGTTTTAGGACGCTTTGCATTTCAGGATGTTTGGGTTTTCAGGCACAGGATTTTGGGCCTGCGACGACTGCGGACCGCCCTCGACATATGAACCGCGACCTCAACCTTAGCAGCCTGTGCCTGAAACCCTTCGCTTGAAGCCCTGAACCCCTGAGGTTTTGCCCAACATGGGGGCCTGCATCGGGCCAACAAGGCCTGCAAGCTCGGAATGACGCCCCCTTACAAGCCCGAGAACCCCAAGCCGTGGAATCGTAGATGAGGTAAGGGAAGCCTTTCGCGACCCGCTCCTGCAGCCATGGCGTCTCCGATGCCTGGCATGCATTGTCCGTGCTTCAAGCAGGCCCATTGGGCCGGGGGCTCACGGACCTAGATTTGCTATTGTTTTCCAAAGCCTCCCTTAGCCATACTGTACACCCTCTCAAGTCAATCGCGTGACAAACCTGCCCCTCTTCTTCCTTCAGCTTTTTTCTGGTTTGGACGATCTGAAAACCATGAGCCCACATACCGGCTAGCTCCCAGCATTAGCACAGAACACCGCAGACTGTCAAACGTCCCTGATCCCCAAATCCCCAAAAGCCTCAGAGACCTGAATGCCAAAGCCTACACTGGCCGACCTGTCAGCTGAGCTCGGAACCCATACGTCCCACTCTGCTTTGCTGCCGCTGATCCGAACTTCCACTCCGTTGGTGCGGGTCATCCTCAGCCGTCTGTGGCACAGGGTGTTGTAGGGCTTCAGGCAGGAGGAACCCATCGTACCCGCGATGAAGTTCCATTTGGAAAAACAGTGTCTGCTGACCGAACATCAGTATACCATTCTGCGAAATGGTACTACACTTGTTCAATGATGCGCTTCTGAATCCATCAGCTCTTGGATGTGCTATCCTCTGTGCTTCATCCCTTGGGCCGCAGCAAGTAGGCAGTGATCTCATCCTCTGATAGACCGCGGTCGGCTGGCGTGAAGCCCTCCTCGAAGACCCGGCCTCATTAGGGGCGGGGATCGGCTCTTTGTCTCCCGGGCCGATCCTAAACCCTTCTTGCATGCCTATACACCCTATACACCCTAGACCCTGTAAGCAGAAAAACTCATAGTTCCGGAAGGGATGCAGGCCACTATTTAGTCCAAACCTTGCAGATCTTTGAGACGGTGTTGAACCCTACAAGCTACAGCTACTCCTGGTAGGGCACCCGGCCAACATGCTCAATGGTCAGCCAGAGACCTGAGAGCGCTCCCGGGAGTTCAACACAGCTCTGGAGCCGAGGGCAGGGATGTCGTGTCGTTAGGGCAGTGGGGAGCCATTCGTTGCAGCTTGTCCCGACTCTTGAGAAGGGGTAGAACAGCCCCCAGAAATCAGCCTTGAAACCACAAGGGCCCAAACCGCGACTTCGGCAAGCGGCCACAAGTTAGATGGACGTTGCCGTACCGACATATGCCAAAAAACCGGCAAGTTAAAAAAAGAAGCACGGAAACATCATTGACAATAAGAGAAAAACATGTCTGAGGCTCCTCTGGCCGGCTGCCTCTACTGAACTGACCCAGGCTCCGGACAAAGCCACTGGCAAAGAATGGGTTTCATCTCCTTAGCGGCTGAGCGCCCAGGTCCTACAGCAACAACTTCAACAAACATTTTTTGGGAGCTCTTCTAAAGCTTGGGTCGAGGAGACACTTTTATGAAGTCCAAGCAACTCACTGATAACAACGCAAACATGAAAACAACGGCAACAACAGTCATAGACCCTCGATGAATTGCGGCATGGCTTCATCGTGGAAGAAGTCTTCAGAGAGCAGGACCTGGGCAAGCGCGGGGCGACAGCTGCCAGTTAGCCATCGGTAGCCACAAAAAGAAACCTAGACATGCAAAACCCTAGGACGCTTGCCAGGTGCGGGTTCTTCTGCAGCTGCTTGCGCTCGGTACCGCGCTGCACCACCTCGGAGCTTGGGGCATTTAGGGTTTAGGGTTTAGTGTTTAGGGTTTAGGGTTTAGGGCTTATTCTTACTGGCCCAAAACCCAAGGAAATAAAAGTTTAAACTTTCAGAATAAACTACCTTACAAGAAGCCCAAA